AATTACTGAAATCAATCTACTTTTTCATGATATTCTAATTATATGACCAGCACCTGTATATTTATACAATGAAAAAGAGGTTGTCATCTGTTTGGGGAAATCTTTCTAGACTAATTGTGGTTGACCAGCAGGTGCCAGTGTTCTTAAGGACAAACAGTCAAAAGAGGAGCTACAAACATAAAAAAAATACTTTGAAGCAAACAGTCTTAAGATTTACCCCTCTGACCCATATTCATGAAAATATCAATGATTTTTTTTCTTAATTTATTTATGGACTTATGATACAGATTTTCTTTTATTCTAACTTATCAGACTGCTGAGAAACGATGTGTCCCTTTCAGATAAAGCCACACATAGATGCATGGTTTGGTTGAGCTCTTTGTGGGGAGCACATGAAAGCTGGATTACATCATCTCCTCTGCCCATCCCTTTTCTTGTTCCCTTAAAAAGCCATTTCATTCTCACTGGTCCATGTGACTTGAGCACCATACCAGTAAAAGCATGTGAAGAACCTCAAAGTTGTTCCTGGTACACAATCTGCCCACTTTCTTATTGTTGCTTTTCAAAAGTGATCTGTAGTTTAAAAAAAAAAATCCCATCACTCCCCTTAGACCTTATTGTGTCCTGTGTTTGGTTAGATTATGTTTGCATGCAGGGATGACAAGAGTGAGAACATTTTAATGATGGGAAGATCAGCCGGTTCTATAATGTAAGCTGTGATTTTTAGTTTTTTTTATCATTATATGCAAGGGTTCGTACAAAAGATGCATCAAAGTAATCTGTAAGATATCAACAAAGGTAGCCACATGAAACAACAAGGCAGCACCCTTTGCAATCATTGGAAATTTTGATAAAGATGTGTAAAAAAAAAAAACATAAAACAAATTACTGCAGCATGAAAAAATAGAAAGGTTAATTGTTTCTAACATTACAATACCACATGTATTTCTGCAGTATAATATTTGTATAAAGTAAATATTTCTGAAGGATTTTTTGCCTTATATATACAAGTTCCGGAACATTTAAGAATTTTGACTGATCTTTTTCCACAGGGTCTGTGTAAGATGGGACACAAAGGCCCTTACTTTACAATGGGAAAGATGAAAGATCATTTAATTCAGCTGAGGTCCTGTAGGTGTGTTTTGATCTTTATAGGAATGACTATGAGAAATTAGCTTGTTTGCTAAACACAACCATAACTACAGTAAATGGTTAGAAAAGAGTAATACATTTAGAATTATGCTTGACTCATCCACTGTGCCCATCACACTGCCCCCTACAGCCTAGGAGAATATTGGCTACTGCACAGAAATGTGCAAAAACTGCAAAAGTTGTCAGTTTGATTTAGTGTGACACATGCATTTTCCACATGTTCCACATGCATCTTGCACGGTGCATGTGTCAGTTTGGTTCGCCTTGAAACAAAAAACGAATACATGCAAAATGCCTTCGTTTTATGCATTTTATGCTACGTGTGGAACAGAAATTTTTGGATACAAATCTTGTGGCTATGCAGGACAATATTAGCCTGGGTGCCATTCCGAACTTAGTCCCGCCCACAA